TACCCTACATGAGATATACAGTGTATGTCCAACAAGCTCGGGCCTGTTGTGTGTATTGTAGAGTGTTTACACTGGAGAGATATACAACTGTGTCTGGCAGGTGGCCAGTTGGGTTTCACAGTCCAGGTCATTCACAAGTTGTCCTTTATGTTCCAACACCATGGGAGATGTATGCATGCTGGTAGATGTACAGAAGTTTATGACCCACAGACGTATAATGCCGTCGTTCAGTATACCCAATCTTCCAACTTGACCCAAAGGTGCTGGGGGACTCATTTGTAATATATTTACCACACAGTTATTTGCATTACAATACAAATTCAGTATGTAACTTTGGGTCTAATCAAAGCCTGAGTTTAGGCAAATTTAATTTGGTCAAGGCAAACCAGTGATTGATATTATGATCATACGTTCCATACCCCCAAAATTGACCACTTGATCCATACAGTGCAGTAGCATTCCAACTTGTGACTATGCATGGGCAGCGAGCAATTGTGGTTTATTACCCGGAATGATTGTTATCTTGATTTGATAGCAGCACACAGTTCAATCTTGTGTGTGCTAAGCTCTCAAAACATGGTGAAATTTAGGAGAAAGTGAGACATCATGTGACTGCTGACCAGGAAGTGTATGAGATAAGGATTTGCTGATGTCAGCATTATTTTTACCACACTTTTTGACATCCATTCAGATCACTCTAAACTATTTAAGGCTATGAGCAAAAGAATTGGAACAGTTGTAAACACACTTAGCAGTTGGGGAAGAATGAGTAGGATTTTGTGCTGACATCAGCAATTTTCTAGCGATATGATGTTGACCGTGCTGATTCTGTTTCAAGGTACCCCAAAGGTATACATCGCTGCTCATTCTATCAACCACTGGTTTGCCTGGCCAGGTTTGATTGTCAAACCTTTGTGATATCGGTTGAATATTGGTAACTGCGGTGTCAAAAAACTCTCTGCACATCCTCAATCCAACAATTGCACATTACATTGCCAATAATTGCATCATACAAACAATTTGTTGGCAAAATATTTAGCTTATAATTAAACTTGTCAAATAATCAAGATACGTGTCAGGTATTAGTAACAATATGTGACTATATATTCCACTACCTGCTCCTGTGGATATCATTATGAGGATCCTACATATTACTTCTTTTCATGTCGCAACTACTGCAATCTTCGGAACAACATGTACTACCATATAAAGGGATATGACTTGGATTCAGTATTATATGGACATGCTACAACATCTACTGATACTAACCTTGCTATTGTACAATCTGTCCATTTGTTCACTGTAAAATCTAAAAGATTTAAAATCTAAATATGTCTTCTTAACAATTACATCGATCAAATAGTTGTTTGTATGACTGTGTGATATGCTGGTATGCTGTTTGTTTATGTACCGATATATGTATGCATGTATATTTGTATTTGTGTGTGACTTGTATATCATCATAATATTTGCAACAGTAGGTACAATTAATCTAAATTTATTATTTTATTTACAGTTTACTCTCATTAATTGTTATATGTCCTTTGTAGGGAGAGGTGTTTAGATAGGTTGAACCTGTTCACCTAGACTAAAATCTAGTCTCTGAAATGAACATATCGTACATAAAAAAAACAGTTGTTCAGTTATCTTAATAAAAATATAATAAAATGGAGCCCAGTGACTCTCTTCATTTTCAGATACTGCAGTGATCTAGACTTGCCAAACATTATAGACTTGCATGGGCTGTATTTGATATATATTTGTATCAGGGTCTGTAAGACAGACTACTGTTCACCAATCCCATTCCTTTTTCTTGGAAATAAATATTGTTTAAATTATATGTGACTAAATATCAAAGAGTTGGTGAACCATTTGGTGATATTTCCCACAATGAAAGTGTTCATAAACTAAACACATATTAAAAGCACTCATTGCATCGGTTGCCCAAGTTGACATTTTGGGACTGTTTTGACAAGGGCTAAATTAGATGAAGTTTGGCTGTTTGAGTAGCCATTAGGGGTTTACTAAGCTGTCACTTAATGTGTTTCCCAAACATGGCTTAAATCCTCACGACTCGCTGTCTGAAACGTCATCCAGGTTAGCTGCTGATTTGTGGGTTTTGTGTGTGACAACTGGCTAGTGATCACACTTGTTAGAGACTGGTTATCGGGTGGTTACAGGCGGATTGCAAAGTGGTTAATAATGACCCGAGCTGGCGAATTAGGCTCAACTGAGCCTCTTACCTGTCAATGTTTTGGAGTTGTGTTTTTACCCTTAATGGCTACCCTGGACATAATTAAGGGTAGTTTGGGAATTCTTGTCAGGTTTTTCAATAATAATCACAATGCTTGTTTATTCTTAAGTGTTATGTAGTTAAATGGGGGTTAGATTACAGATTTTTATCCTATTTGTTTAAACGATTTCTTTGGCGAGTTGCCGTAACAGAAATATTTGCTTTAAATATCTTCATAATTTGCCAGCTGGAATTGTTTGCCAAATAAAAAGTCTCTGTTTGAAGAGATTTTAACTTTAAAGGCAAAAGGACATTTTTCTCTTTCATATGACTGGTCACATGACATGGTTTAACTGACAGGGTGTTTGCTTTTAAGCCGTCATTTCCTTGACTTTTTTCCGTTAAAGGCTGACTTTGGGACCAGCTCTGCCTAAGTATCCCTGTCTTTGTCTTATTCCAATCATTGTGTCTACCTCACACTTCACCTTTTGGCCTCAATTAGCATTCAGCACATACCAAACACATGGGACGGTGAAAACACAAAATGTCACAAACAAATCTTCACTCGTCATCTCGACTTTCTCCATTCTGGACTGTCCTTTAACTGGCTTGTACTCTCACACACGGAATAATATGGTAGGTCTACTCTCAAACATAATCTCATAAAGATCTGTTTAATTCACGTATAATTTTGCTTTTTTATTTTTTAGTATTTCTTTTAGCAAATGTGATGTTCGTGTCATGGTATTAGTGGTGGTAGTATTCTGGTATTTTTAGTCGTATCATCAGCCGTATAATAATGGCAAACATTTGAAGTTGGAAGTGGGTTTCAGCCATAAAGCCATGATGTGAATAATAGATCCTGACTGCCCATGTGTTTGTGGTGGTTGAAACCTGCATTGTTAGCTGACTCATCATTTTTGACATTGACGCTGGATGCAGTGCCCAAAGTAGGACCAGAACTGGCAGTCTGACAGCGAGGCACTGGAAGCCATAAGAACTCTGATGTGATTCTGTTTCAATCACTGAAACATCTAGGTTATGTTACTGTCCTCTGGATGACTGAGATGGGGTGGGCTATAGAGCGTCTGCTATAAATCTGTAACAAAACACTTTGTGGCAATAGGGCTATTATCATGTGTTCATGGATTTCTACAACACAAGAGATGAAGCTAAAACTTAGACAGTCAAAGCTGACAATGACTCCTACACTGCAATACATTATATGAGCTGTAATAGTTTATGCATGTGGGATATATATGCAGTAAATTGTATTACTAGAGTGAATTTGTGAGTGAGAATGTTATTTTCTGTAAAATATCAAAGATGTCCTGATAAGTTGTGTTTTTTTCATGTCACACATTTTTTTTCTAGCCTTGGCAGAAGTCTGTTTTGTGTAACAGGGATTTCATTTTATAAACAATAAAAAATAAAACAATGACCACATATCATTGGATTACTCATTTTCATACACCAATATGCCACTTCCCAACAAAACTGATTTAATTTCAATTGATAATTCGAAGTACATGTGATATGTCTATTGTGTATAATGTTTCACAGCCGGGAGATTATAGTTGTGCTGACAGCTCAGGGATATTAGCTTTACTGGAAATGATTATAAATAGTTTCTTAAATATGTTCTATTTCTTATCTGTAATCCCTCCAAACAGTTGGTATATTGATATAAGTAAAGCAACCCTGTGACGGTGTTGGCCCGGAGCTGCGATGTGTGTATACCCTACTTAGAGTTCGTATAACCCGGGCGGGGGATAATACTTATAATGTACCTATTCATACCGAGAGAACGTGGGATGACATAGGTCATATGCTCACTAAATATTTCATGAGGTTGGTTTTGGTACATGGTGTCTTTTGAATAATAGATGTGTTGCCCTATTGATTTCCATCGGATTTGATGCTTGCTTCGTAGTGTAGGTGTTGATAAAACATACATTCCATTGGACAGAAGCCTTTGAAATATATTCTTTAAAAAGTTGAAATTATTTTGACAATTAAATATTTGATGTTTTTGAGGACTTTTTGTTCAGGGTTTTGATGCATTGGTTCAAATACTTCAGGGTTTTGCGGATTACAGTACTTTGATGTATTTTTGGCATATATTCCTTCAATTTGATTTTTTTTCAGAGGGTCAGATTGACTTCTAAACAAATATGTCGAGTTAAATATTTATGATAAGTTCTCAGCAATAATTCATGTATTTAGTGATATGTTGTAAAATGTTACTCTTTCATAAAGACTCCTTCAATGAATAGCTGATTAAGTAGGAACTTATGAATCATAAACTATAATGGTTACATATTCCCAAACAGGTGTGCCACAAAGGATTAGACTAAACCATGCTGGTTTTACATGGGTGTCTTTGGGCAGCCTTGTCAAAGTGTTTGCTTGTTACACCAAAGGCTTGGGTTCAATTCCCACATGACTACAATGTGTGAAGCCTCCTTCTGTGAGTGAGTGAGTTATAATTTAACGTTGCATCGGCAATATTTCAGCCATGTAGCGACGAGACCAAGTTAATATATTTACAATTTAGTTATTAATGCAAATTTTTATTTAAAAACAAGTTATGAAATATATTTGAGAATAATATACTTAGAAGCCTCCTGCTGGTGTCTCCTGCTGTGATATTGATGATAGTAGACAAAAACACAAAACTCGACTCACTAGCTCACCAATATGTCTTCAGTTTAAAGTTGTGTCAACGCAGGTTGATTCAACACACTTGTAAAACAGTGTTCAAAATATAGGTATGGATGTTAAGGGTCCATGTCATCACCCTAATATAGAGGTAAACTTTTAGGGGATCCATGGACTCAAGTACTATGGGAGCAAACATCAAGGACCCCAGGACCCCCGGACCCCCTTCGATTTCGAATACTGTCAAACTTATTTTTCTTGTCCCCAGCAAGATATGGACGACAGTGGTGTGTAAAAATATACTCGATCAACTCTGATAAATGAGATTGTTGAGCTAACCCTATTATATAACGAGTATCTAACCTCTGCTGAATTTTGCACTGTCAGTTGTCTTTGGAATTGGTTTAAAAAAATCAAGATTGATCGTTGGTTTGTAAAAGCAGTCACTGATCAATTAATGATCATTCATGAATTTATGTAAAAAAGCATCTTTTGAGTTCTCTTTCTTCATGCAAATTACAAAGAAAATAGCAGCTGAGATGTTATGCTCTATTACACAATCATTTCTTTGAAAACTTGCAACATTATCTGGCATTGAAACCTCCTCCACTATCAAACTCTATCCCTACAAATTCTTTTGAATGAAATAACAGGATTGTAAACTTATTGATCTGAGATTCCATGATCGTTTCCTTGCTTGGAAGCTTAAACAAACCATCAGTCATCAATGAAACAGAATAATGCAGTCAGTAATCTCAACCACTAGTCTGAAGTCCGAGGCTAGTAACATTTTGTTTGGTCTAGTAAGCTCAGCTAATAATTTCACAAATAATAACACTAAATTCTACTGAAAAAAATGATACAATTTAGAGTCAAATTCGGGTTAGAAAACTCAAAAGCATTTGTCACGGCCTGATAATTAGGTTTCATAACTAGTAACTACTATTGCAGCAATGGTGGACTATCACTAGTCAGTCGCCCACACCCAAGAGAATAAATTGAAAAAGGAGTCTAACTCAAGTCTAGAATGATTGGGCAAGTGTAGATTGCCTCAAGTAAGCATTGTTCTGGACTCGATTGGGAATTTTTTAAATATTTTATTTTAGATATATATTGTGAAGTAAGATAACTATATTTCTGGGACTATATGTTAGTCAAGACTATCACCATCACCAAGAATACAACTGATTTCTCCTGAATACTAGCTGATACTGTTGGGTAACCATGCATGGCGACATCCGGTGTCACCGAGTCTACTCCAGCTCTGTATCGGCCATGCTTGAACGCTCCAGTTGTAGTACACATGCATCCATTAACCTTGTATAGTTAGCCCCTTGGGTAGATACCAAAACAATATAATAATAATGTTTGATTATTGTTGGTGTTTATTGAGTTGGGGGAATAATACACAGGAAGTATGATGGTCCAGTATTAGCTTTTGACAACTGATTTTCGGGGAACTGATGACGTTTATTTTCCGGGTCAGAAGGGGGCCTGTGTACCTCGTGTTGGATGAAAGAGATGATTGTGAGGATCAGTCAGGCTTGCGTCATAGGCACTGTGGAAACATAATAAATCAATTATGTATTTTCAAAAAATGAAGTTTTTAAAGAAACCTTTTGAAGTGGTGCATGGCATTGTTGAGGAGGTGCAGGATACTGCAGTCATGTCATAACACGATACATTGCAGTTTGACAGTGATTTGGTTGGTAGTTCAAGTTAGAATTCTTTGCATTAGTCGGAACTTCACCCTCGGACATCGGCTAGGCATATTGGCTGACTAACTCCTCTAAAGTTTGAATAACACCACAAAATAGTCATCCAATCAAATTACATAATATTGGTTACACGAACTCTGTATAGAGGTAGTGATGATGTCACTAATACTCGTCTTGTCATGATGTACTGTCTCAAATATGAACTGGGAACAGCTGGCAGCAGAAGGACTTCCTCCCCTGTCTTAACTCAAGGAAACATCTATTCCAGCTAGAAGTTCGTTCTGCTTTGTTGTAAAATATTATGTGTAGGATAAAACATGACAGAAGGTATTCATAAGATTTAAAACCCAAATCCATGGGATAAAACCAAGGATAAGTGTTTTATCTAACTTATGAACTGAGAACATTTATCAACATATTTATGTTTGAAACATACTTTCCCTGAATCTTAGGAAACAAGCATGAAATAACTGTTGCTGGCGTACGGTACTTGAACAAAACATTCTAAAAAGCATTGTGATTTCTCAGAGCCTCTGTAGCCAAGTGGTACACTCACTGGGAGACAGATACGAAGGTTGCATGTTCAATCTGCGGGAATATAAAGAAAACATTTGTTATTGAATTTTACATTTCTTTACATTGTTCTAATGCAAAATATATTTCATACATTCATATGTTACAATATAAACCGAAGTTGTATTCATAATACCCCGGGGATATTATTACATCCCTGTTTATGAGATTTAACCTGACTGGAGAACAATAGGATGATGTCACGAGGTTTGTGTTTGAAATAGATGGAGGGCCACTGGTCGAATATAGATCTATGCAGAACTCTCGTTAAGAACAGTCATTTTGATTGGTTGTCGAGTTCAAGCTCACAAGCAACATATTCTGTGCTAGGGATATGGGAGATAGAGATCGTGACATCACCTCAGCAACGTAGCTATGGTGGGGAATATATCATGGCTAAGTACATCTTAATGGAATGGAGATATGATTATACACTGGCATCACCTCAGCAATGTAGCTATGGTGGGGAATATATCATGGCTAGGTACATCTTAATGGAATGGAGATATGATTATACACTGGCATCACCTCAGCAACGTAGCTATGGTTGGGAATATATCATGGCTAGGTACATCTTAATGGAATGGAGATATGATTATACACTGGCATCACCTCAGCAACGTAGCTATGGTTGGGAATATATCATGGCTAGGTACATCTTAATGGAATGGAGATATGATTATACACTGACATCACCTCAGCAACATAGCTATGGTGGGGAATACTATCATGGCTAGGTACATCTCAATGGAATGGAGATATGATTATACACTGGCTAATCGGGGATGCATTTAGACGAGAGTGTCACAAGTCATGTGTTAGTAAAGTGGCCACCTTATGATATACGTATATGAGCATAATTCTCCCCTCAGTTTCGGGAACTGCGTGATGATTCAGGGGTAATGAAGTGTAGCAACCAGTCAGGCTGGCAGCTGTTGCTTCAGGCTAATGACCCTGTCAACACTTGTCTAGACAAATACCTTGCAGTATTTCTGCATTTCCCTGACTTACCAATAAAACTACACTTCAACAACACTTCTACATGACTTAGCTGGGTAGGTACGTGTAGATTGCTTGAGGTAATTTGCAACTAGGCTTTAGAGCTGGGTGTTGTAAATCACAGAATCGGTACGTGTGTAGATTGAGATAATTTGCAACCATGTTTAAGAGGTGGGTGTACGACAGAATAGGTACATGATTAGGTTGCTTGGGATAGTTTGCAACAAGGTTTTTGTAAATGATATGATCACATCAACAAATCCTTCCTTGTGCAGGTTTGATCACAATTAGAATAGACATTTTCTTGTATTGATTTTATTTGTTGTATTTGATTATCAATGTGTTGTAATATTTTCCCTCTCTCTTTGGCATCAAAGAAACTTAGTTTGATACACGTGTACTACTCAAAAAGATTGAGGATTACCCGATTCATTCTTTCAATTCTTCTCCCGATTCTTTCATGCCATGACAGATTAACTATACTAGGGTGAAAGAATCAGGCGATCCTTAAGTTTAGGAACCAGATGAATATCTGTATCTAGTCACAGAAACATTGTGATACTTTCTTGTTTCAGTACAAATACCATCTTGTGGATCATGTATTAAGTACCTTAGCAAAAATACCCCTGAATTAATAAAAATAACATCTTTATGAAAATTCCAATGTTGAACAAATAATTATTTTTTTCCCAATTTGTCTTTCAAGGTTACATAGTTTAAGATCAAAGATAAATTTGATCTGTTGATCTTCTTGGAGCTTGTCCCTGGTCAGTGTCTAGAGCCAGGTTTGTTGGTGTTTGGTCAGCCTTGATACACCACAGCATTCTACACAACTGCATTTCCAGCTGTTGTTGTATTGGCTAAACCATTAATCTCTTAACTCGGCTCCATACTCATGCCCTGGCCATTGAAGTTTAAACAGAATTGATTTTACGTGACTTCTGTTGAGCAAGAAGTTTGGTTTTATGGAAAATCTAAGTTTGGATATATTAAAGCTTTGAAAAAACTTCAAAGAACATTTTTTTTATGTGACAAATCTTTTAACTCGCAAATTTTCCGACGAACTCAACAGCAATTTGTATTTTAATCAATAAAGTTGATTTGTAGATTGTGTCATTAACGCTCGATTAAGCAAGGTCGCTGAACAACTTCGAAGGAGTTTGAAATTTGACAAATTTGTTTCCTTATATGAACTCACATGCGTTTTCTTAGTCTTACAAGTACGAGCCGTGAAGATCCAGGGTAGACTAGATCTTCAGCAACCCATGCTTGCCATAAAAGGCAACTATGCTTGTCGTAGGAGGCGACTAACAGGATCGGCGTATCCCAATTGCATGGATCAATGTTCATGATGTCAATCACTGGATTGTCTGGTCCAGACTCAAGTATTTACAGACAGCCAACATATAGCTGGAATATTGCTGAGTGCGGCATTAAACAACAAACAAACAAACAAACAAAATCTAAGCAGTGCAAACACTGGAATAAAGACCCTCTCTGGAGCCTTCCTGGTGTCACTGACTCTCATCTATGGAAGGCTGATCATTGGCAACTGGTAGCTGTCCTCGGGCTAAAAGGGGGGCGGTCGGGTAGCCTAGTGGTTAAAGCGTTCGCTCGTCACGCCGAAGACCCGGGTTCGATTCCTGATATGGGTACAATGTGTGAAGCCCATTTGTGAAGTCCCCCGCTGTGATATTGCTGGAATATTGCTAAAAGCGGCGTTAAACCATACTTACTCCCTACTCGGGCTAGAAGTAGAAGGAGATGATGTTGTAGCCTGGTGATTATAGCATTCGCTCACCATGCGGAAGACTCAGGTTCAGTTCCCCTCAAAGGTACTCTTGCGTCCCCTGCCGTTATATTACTTGTATATTGCTAGAAGCGGCATAAAACCAACCCACTCACTCCCTTCTTGTGTATGAACGGCCTGTGCCATGGTTATAAGGGCCTGTCTTAGGGGTACATTTGACCTGTCCTGGGGTATAAGGGACCTGTCCCCGGGGTGTTAGGTGTTTGTGACAGAGTCCAGGTAGACCACATGGGTTTCAAACAAGAGAACATCACTCTCGGCCGAGATGGGCAGGAATTAAGTTGTCAATGGGACGATGGACACTGGTAAATTACGACTGGTAGATCTGAGTGGACTGTGATCACCCTAGGGGCATGGGTCAGGGAGTGGCTTTATGATTGAGTTGTATGACTAGATGTGTGAACAGTGCTGGGCTGTGTTGTACACTGCTAGAGTGCAGCTTGACTGGTGATCTCTCAGTGGGGTCAGCATGGCAATGGGATGGGGCTGATACTGGCTGGATTGGTTAGAAAGGTCCCAGAGGCCAGAGTTTAATCTGTCATACAAAGCCTGAAACAAATATATCCAATACAGCCCATGCAAGTCTATAATGTTTGGCAAGTCTGCAGTATCAGGAATGAAGAAAGTCTCTGGGCTCCTTTTTATTATATTTTATAACTATAATTTAACAACTGTTTCTTTTGTAAAATGTGTACATTTCAGAGACTAGATGTTAGTCTAGCCAGAGGTGTACAATGCCGAGACCCCAGTTAGACCAGGGATTTACCTAGGATTCTAAACTAAGTGCCCTTGGCGTGCACATTGTATGTGTGTGTCCGGGGGGGGGGGGGGGGGATGGGTCATTATTTTGTTTTGTTCAAAGTTCTTATTTATTAAATTCAGAGGTATTTTAACCTTGTATTTTGAGACTGCATTCAGTGAAACCGTATAAAATTAAGCATTTAAACCTCTTCCCAGTTATTGGTCCTGTTATCACTGAAATACAGATTCTCGCAACTCAAGCCATAAAACTAGTTATTAGTTATGTTTATCATAAACCTGTATAGGGAAATAATTAATTCCTATTTGGGAATTTTTAATGACACTTGCTGCAGACTAAGGGCTGAATATCAGCCTCTGAGCAGGTCCACATTTGAGCAGATACCAGTACCTGGATAAGTATGGTGTATAATAATTATAATCATAATCATAATCATCATCATCATCATCATCATCATCATCTAGATACATCCCTGTAGACCCTTAGGCCTTCAGTAATCTATTGTTTAAGTGGTGACTAAACTGGACCATTGGTCAGGCTCGGTGACCTGGCTGGCTGGTTGACTGTCATCGCTGTATTCCAATGGCATGGGATGTTGTTTGTAATATCAACCACTTGTCCACTGATACTGCTGATTGAAGGATAAAACCACAAAGAATATTGCAGAAAACTAATTTTCATTCACCTGTCGAACTTCTGAACTGATTTTCTTCAGTTATCCACGATGGTTTGTTTTTAGACTTGCTGTAATGCACCATTCTATGAATTTATTTAGTTCTAACACATCCCAAATCACAAACCTTTCATTGCCCGCTTCCACAAAATGAAAAAAGCCCTGCAAGTTTCAGAATATATTCCTCAAGGCAAGTATACATGTTTTACATCTAGACTGTTAGTAAATAAATCTGAAACTGTCTGAAATTCCAAAATATTTTTTGGTTTTGGTTTTTTTCAAAAAAAGGTTGAAAGTGGTTGTAAAATCAATGAATGGGTGTTTTTTTTCTTGTGTTATTGGCTGTTTGTCCAAGATAGCGGGGTTTGATAGGCAGCATTAGAAATTGTCACGAAAGTACTCACAGAAATGAAAAAAAACTTTTTTCGATCTCAGATTTTAAATAAATGCAGTTAATATACAAAATATATAAATATTCAAACAACTCAATTAGTACTAATTGGGCCTTGGCACATATACAGCGTATCAAAGGTTTTTATGTCTTTTTACACGTAAAAGTGTGTAAAAATGTGAACAAAACAGATTTTTGTGAAACTGAGCATAAACAGGTGTTTGTAGATCAAGGCGAATGTCCATGACCTATGACACCTTGACGACAGGTGAAAACAGGTGTTTGAAACCCACGTGCATGTGATTTGTCAGTGGTTAGTGATTTGTGAGTTGCATTGTGGGATAGTGAATCATCGTCAAAATATCAGAACATAAAAGTAATA